AGCATATTTGGGAAATCCCTCAAGGTTTCGAGGATAATCGTAACAATACAGAAAGAACAAGGACCAGGGATGTAATTTTAAGTAAATCTTTATTCAGTGGCAAGGCGCAGAGCGTTCGGGGCAGCAATATTAATTTGTATCAAATATAACATTAAACGGTGGTTCTAATACATTTTTTGATATTATTAACCAGAGTACATACATTATATGGTATTTCATTCAAAATTAATGTACTATATGAACTTTTTTTCAAATATTTCTTAAGTTTCTTTCATCAGTGCTGAAAAGCAACCATGCGTGTAAGAAATTGTGTGGTACCTAAAATTTCACCTCTGGAAACTTTATCCCCATAAAGGACTTCACCACAGTTTTTTTACTGGATATACTGAGGCTGAGATCACCTGATTTTCAATTCTCTCATTCTCCGCACAGAGTTACATTCAAGTTTCAGAAAAAACTTTAAAATGTAAATTGAGAAATATTTTAGAAAAATGTGTTTTTATTCATTTGAATTCAATAAAAAAGAAATTAAAAATGCGTGCCAAGTCTTGCATTTCCAATAATAACGATAAATGTGTATGTTCCAGGCAATAATTTAAAATATTTGTGAAACTTATCGTTTGCGCTAAAATACATCAATGTGTGTGAAATTCGTTGTCATTGCTTTTGTTTTGAACATCATATTCGTGCCTGCCGGTGGAAAAATTAGGTAAATTTGCATTTATTTTTAAGAAAACATATAATTTAATATATATTTCTTTCCAGAGCGACATACGGACAAGTAAGATGATCATCGTTTAAACAAATGGTTTATTTTCTTGTACAAGCAGCCGTGGCCCGAGCAGCGCAAATCGTGGCAGAGAATTATAAGTAATAAGGGAAATAATAGTGCGATAAGAAACTGGAGCTCGGGGAAAACTATAATTTACGTCTCTACGCAGCACGTACGCATGTGTGGGTGCATTTGCGATTGTGGCCGAAGCAGCGGCCCGAAAAACCTTACCAAACCTTTTTTTATTTTACGCTTACATCAACGTTATGCCACAATCACGTGCCGCCGCAGCTGCAGCTACTGGCAGAGGCCCACAGGCACTCGTAAAAATTTGCCACTATTTACTGGACGCAACACAAGGTAGCAGTAAAGATATTGGACCTCATGCATTAAATGTGAGTTTAAGCTCCAACTCGATTTTCAGTACAAATTCTTGAGCTTAAGCTCACCCCTTTAGTGCAAAAATTGAGTCTGACCTTAGACTCATTTTTTATGCATGAGGCCCATTAAATCGCATAAATTGGTTGAAATGGTTGGAAGTGGACCAACAACTTGCTGCCTTCTCGTCAATTTGGTTACGTTGTGTTGACTAACTCCGGAGGCATTATGGATCTTGAGGAGGCCAGACGGTAACATTTGGGAGGCAAAATGCTAGGATTCTTGTTCTAAGCTGGGCACTGGGTATTCACACTTTTGTTAGTGTATTGAAGCTATTGCAGCTGGCAAGAGCAACATGTTTATATTATTTTTTACAAATATAAAAAGATGAAAGCCATTTGAAGTAATGAGTAAATTTGCGTGGAAGAAAATTAAGAATAAAGAAATTTGTATGATGAATATCGAGGAAAATCGTTTGCATCAAAATTTCTATTCAAATTTTTATTTGAATTATGACATCAACAGGGATGCTTTGAAACGTATCTTTTGTAGAGAAATTTTTATAATTCTTGTGATTATTGATATTTTCTAGAATTAAAAAAGCTAGTTCATATTAAAAAATATATTTAGACCATGATAAAAATATAGTAAGGTAGAACCGCTGAGAGTCACTTTTAAAATTCTTGACGTTTCCAAACAATTTAATTTTTAAATTTCTTCACAAACTCACACACACATTTTCATTTTCAATCTCAAGCAACAACAATTTCGAACAATTTCATTTTTTTATTTTCACATTTATATGATTTTAAAATGTTTTCAAACTTCAAAAAAAAATCATGGCCGACAAATTGAGAGAACGGTTATACCTTGCTATGTTTTTATCATGATTTAGACTACAAGTATGTAATGTACGTTTATTACGAACTGAAGCGATTTTAATGAGTATTCATAGCTTCATAGCAGTTACATCAAAATGCATATTTGACAAGAAAGAGTACAAGATTGCCCCGTCATAGTGGCGATGACATTTCTGTACAAAAAGTAAACAAAGCCGAATTGCATGTTAAAAGAAAATATCAGACCAGCCAATTTTCTCAATAATAAATTTTTCGATAGTAAGCGTGTTTTAATTGCGCTGAATTCTAAAAATATATGAGTTACAATGACAATTAATAAGGAAAATGTGAAAAAGCGGTGATTTTTCTGGAAGTATAAGTGAATTTCAGTACATTTAAAGTTTCTGATACGTCGTTTACTTTTAGATCAGAATTATCAAAATCGACAAATTCAAAGTAGGGGTATGTCTGACGGTGCCACCTTTGTTCGCTGCATCGTGCATATTGGGCAAATGACGTTTTTAAATGCATTTTACATACAAACATATGTACCAGTTCAAGATGAAAAAAGAAACTAAAATTAGTAATTTTTTTATGAATGTAGTTAAAAAAAGTTCACAGAGGAAATGCCGGTAATCAATCTATCGGCAATCACATAAAATCTATGTAGGGAAATGTAGATGTCAACAGAATAATAACTACAATAAAAAGCACCACTGAAGTGTGAGAACCAGGCAATTTTTCAATCTGAGCAAAAAATTCTTTAAATGCCGTTGTAAAAAGGTCAATACATTTCTTATAAAATAGTTTGATTTTTGATGGGTGGTATAACTCAGTGAAACGGTTATTAAAGAAAATAAAATTTTTAAAAGTAATAAATAGGAAAAAATGCACTAAAAATGTGAATTTAAATATTTTACCCAAATTCATAAAAAATTAAGAAATCGATTTTTTTATAAAAATGTCACTGTACAGAGCTATTTAAATCTATTTTATTTTTTATGAATAACGTCATTAGCATATACCGTTTTTATAAATGAATCTTGTAGCGTCGCGTTATATACATACATAGGTACATATATATATTTTGGCTGGCGAAATATGTACTTTTGCCAACTAATTAAAAAAGCGTATGATTCAATTTAACCACATTAAAAAAGTATTTAAATATTTTATGGCGCAACACAGCAACACTTTTTGTTTCACGAAACCCTTGAATACGAGCCTGTCATCTATTTCTTCTATTTCGACATTTCGCTTTTTTACATTTCTTTCATTTAACGTCATTCGCATTGTCACATTTCTCAAATTCGTTTTTACTTCGACATTTTGCTATTTCATAATTATTTCATTCTCATGTCATCCATCTTCCATTTCTTACCCTCCATTGCCGTTCGCATCGTCGAACGTGCCTGCCAAACACTGCCGCCATCATGCTTTTCAGTTTGGCAGGCACGTCCGCTGTTTGGCAGGCACGTCCGTTGTTAGAAAGAGAATAGACAAAAAAGGGGCATAGGATTCCATACTTGTAAGTATATACGATGATTCCAAAATAGCTATTGTGCTGCCACTGGATTAGTATTTCGTAATAATTCACTTTTCCTTATGAGATGTGTGCACTGTTCAATGCTTTTCGGTATCTTCTTTCGTTTAATACATATATAAATAATGAAAATTTTTAATAAAAAATCGCGCGATTTTTTATTAAAAATTTTCGCCTGCGTCGCTTTTTCCATAAAAATCAATACTTCGATAAATAATGAAAATTTTTAATAAAAAATCGCGCGATTTTTTCCATAAAAATCAATACTTCGATACTTTCTTATTTAGATGAAAGTAAAAAGAAGAAGAAGAAGAAGAAGAAGAAGTGTATAGTGTAAACTGAGTATAATAGCGCAAATGAAATGTGAAATAAAGTGGCAATACCAGCGATTTGAGGTTATAATAATTTTAGCAGGCGCAAAGTTTGTTTACTCTGTTTTATTAACGAAATATATAAAATAAAAGTGAATAAATGATTTGGTTTGCATAAAATAATAACCGGAAACGTTTTAGTAGTGTTTTAAAAGTGGAAACTGGTGATTTAGTGCATTTTTGACGTGGTAATTGCTCATAGAAAACAACGAAGTTTAACAAAAGTTTTTTGTTCATAACTTTTAAATGGTTAATAATATTACCTCTCCCCCTCCGGATTGTTATTAGGTGGGCCGAAACGCGTCGTTTGGTACCCCTCCCGACTTTTCCGCCCCTTTTTTAGGGGTTGTTACCCCCCTCTAGAGAATTACCCAATTTGCAATCTATGCAGCTCGTAGTATATAATGGAGAGAACCACTTCAACAGCACTCAGCATCAAAGTAATCCCCCTCCCCACACGTTGATTCAAAGACTTCCTGGCGCTACTTCGTTAGTCGTGGCTAGGTAGCCGGAACAACTTAGCGACTGTTATAGTTCTCTTTTTAGGAAACTTCTATACAACAACAATCAGATTTCCTGGGGAGGGGGAGTTGAGCACTGCTGCTAGAACAACATACTTACATGCAAATGTATATTTGTACATCTGTATACATGGACGAAACTAGAGTTATTATTCATTTATTACCAGAATATTTGCGCCTCACATATTTATAAAAAAAAGTGTTTACATTTATTATTTGCTACACTGTGCGCATTGCCTTTGAATGTGCTTTGGTACCCACTGAATCTACACGAATGCATGTTGCTAATCGATTTGTGAGGTTTGTGCCGGATCTGCTATTTGAAAATCTCATTCAGTTGTCGTTAAATCATTCATAAAAGCGGGTGGTTTAGAGATAAGATTACGTGATCTTATATGCCGCATGTCACTATTTTTTTTTTCTTTTTCACTTGCAGATCTTAAAAAGGTATTAACAACGGAATGCTGCAGCCCTTCATGTCCTACTCACCACCATTCAAACACTGGCTTCTTGTAGCCGCATTGCTTTTGCTCTGTTGCAATTTAAACATAGTCGCTGCACAACAAGAGAATTTTTATAATACACAACAACAGCAGCAGCAACAACAACAACAACAGCAGCAGCAACAACAACAACAGCAAGTATACAAACAAAATAATCCTCAAAATCCATTCCCTGGCTCTCAAGCCTACAATGATGTGAATCAACGCTTCAATAATGATCCTTATAATCAGAATTCCAATACGAATCAGAATCTCAATACGAATTTTAACCAAAATACAAATTATAATACGAATGATCCCGATGGCACACGCTATCGCACCGATAACTTCAATGATTTGCCAGTTGATGAACGTCCGAATGCGGGCTATGGCGGTGAGGAAGATTTAAGTTTCGGCCGCGGCAAAACTTCGTACAATGTAAAAGCAACTTTCTTAGAATCGTTCCATACGCGTGAACCGACTTATTTTATTGTTGCATCACGCATGGTGCGACCTGGCCTCATCTATAAGGTTGCGGTATCGATATTGCGTGCTCAGTACCCAGTAACGGTGCATGCCAGTATTTCGTGTGATGGTGTGCAGATCAGTGGTTATTCCAAAGATGTAAAAGTGGGCGTACCCGAAACGATGTTGATGCGCGTGCCGCCTACGAGCGTCAATGGCGAGTACAAACTGCGAGTAGAGGGTTTTTACCAAGATGTGTTCGGTGGTTTGGCCTTTCTGAATGAAACACGCTTGGATTTTTCGCAACGCTCGATGAGTATATTCATACAAACCGACAAACCTTTGTACATACAGGGCGAAACTGTGCGTTTCCGTTCGATACCGATCACAACTGAGCTGAAGGGCTTCGATAATGCAGTTGACGTTTATATGCTGGATCCGAATAAACATATTTTGCGGCGTTGGCTATCACGGTAAGAAAATTAACCTATTACGTGCTTGTTTAACGTGCATACTACACTATTTTTTTTTGTTTCCATTGCAGCCAATCGAATCTTGGTTCCGTCTCTTTGGAATACAAACTCGCTGATCAACCCACCTTTGGTGAGTGGACAATTCGTGTAATTGCACAAGGTCAAGTGGAAGAAGGGCACTTCAGTGTAGAAGAGTATTATCAGACTCGTTTTGAAGTAAATGTCACAATGCCAGCATTCTTTTTCACCACCGACCGGTTTATTCATGGCCGCGTGATGGCCAATTTCACCAGTGGTCACCCAGTACGCGGCAATCTGACGTTGAAAGCAACGATAAGACCTATCGGATACTTCAGTAATCAGGTGCTAAACGAAAAATTCCGTTTGGGACGTTCACCCACCGAAGAAGCTGCACGTTATTTGCAACATCAGAATGAACTGTACTACAATCAATACAGTCCAGTGCCTACAACAGAAGATGTTAATCGTAATCAAGATATGCTTTATCGCAATCAGTACGTTGTTGAGCGGCATTATGAATTTGAAGAGGAATGGCCTTTCTGGGTGCGCAAACCCGATGTGCCTGATACGTACGATTCTTGGACGGGTAGTTATCGTAAGACATTACCTTATTTGCGCTACTTCAACGGTACATTCCATTTCAAATGGCCAGTACGCGAACTGGAGGTTTTGGTGCCACAACTGGAGGGTGAGTTCATGTAGAAATGTTAAAATACCAAAACGAATCTCTTAAACTTTGAAAGTTCTCGAAAATGTCGAACGTATTGAGACTTTTATTTGTATTCGTGTTTCGGGTTTTCAACTTTTCTAAGGGAATATTCCAACAGTAATTATGTATTTGAATCTTAATGTTTTATTATGTCTCATGATGCAATAATTTTAAGCATATTATCATATTCCTGTGAATAAAAATACGCCTAATTTTATTATTTTAATTATCTACAACTTTATGAGACTACCAAGCCATATATATACCTATTCTGATAATCGGAACGCTGTTGAGAAGGCATACAATTTAGTAGTTTTTCAACTAAAAGGATTTTTTTATTCCAGTTTTTCTTGTACTTCCAAAATACAATATTGAACTAAGGTAGTTCGATTTCGAGCTGTCACAACGTACAACACCTTTCATTATTGCGTCATGATTATGTCTTTCTTCTCCGACAATTCCTACAGGCATGGAAGTATTAATCACCGCTACAGTTGGCGAAAAATTCTACGACGAAGTGACTTCAGGCTATGCAATTGCGCGCGTCTACAATTCCAGCATTCGTGTGGCCTTCTTAGGCGAGTCGCCACAAGTCTTCAAGCCCTCCATGCTGTTCACCGCTTACCTGGCCGTAGAGTATCATGATGGTTCACCAATTCATAAAAATCTACTACAGCAAGGTATAATGGATGTCACCGGCTTTGTGGAAAGCAAGAGTGGAGGCCGACGAGATTGGCCACCGACGCGACTGCAAATGTCCGCCGCTAGTCCTGGTATCTGGGCTGTGAAAGTGGATCTACGTAATGATCTACAGCTAGATGATCGTGCCCAATCGCTGGATTTCTTAAATGGCGTAGAACGTATGCGTCTGCAAGCGAGTTTCATTGATCCACGCGGTGAACGCACTCAAACAGAACTTCTGATGGTGTCACACTATTCGCCACGCAATCAACATATCATGGTTTCCACGAGCACAGATACGCCGGTCGTTGGCGAATACATCTTCTTCCACATACGTACGAATTTCTACCTGGAGGACTTCAACTATTTGATTATGTCCAAGGGTGTAATACTGGTAAACGATCGGGAAACAATAATAGAGGGCATACGCACTATCGCAGTTGTACTGAGCGCAGAGATGGCCCCAGTGGCTACGATTGTCGTTTGGAAGATAACACTCGCTGGCCAAATAGTTGCGGATTCGCTGACATTCCCGGTGAATGGCATTTCGCGAAACAACTTCACGGTCTACATTAATAACCGTAAAGCACGCACGGGTGAAAAGGTTGAAGTGACAGCGCGTTTACACCATGCAGGCAGGCAATGAGTTGACATATGCGAAAATAGTTACTAAAATGTCAACATTCGATGAGCAAACAAATGGCACACACAAGCACGTCTGGCACACGCATGAGGGCACACCCGATGAGCTAGTATACTTACCCGCCTCGTCGTTCGGCATCGACGCGAATCGCACCTTCGCATACAGCGGGTTAATTGTGTTCACGGATGGCTATGTACCGCGGCGTTACGACGCTTGTAATCGCACACTCGGTTACGGCGAGTGCCTGTCCGGACGTTGCTATCCGCTAAATAAGAAATGCGATGGGCTGTTTGACTGTGATGATGGTACCGATGAAATTGGTTGTCGCATACGCAATGACACAGAACTAATAGATTATCGCAAGTATCATTTTAATCGCATTTTGCGACACTACGAAAATGTTTGGCTATGGAAAGATGTAAATATTGGACCGCATGGACGTTATATATTCAATGTTGAGGTGCCAGATCGCCCTGCCTACTGGATGGTGAGCGCCTTCAGTGTTAGCCCCTCGAAAGGTTTCGGTATGTTGACCAAAGCGATTGAGTATGTTGGCGTACAACCGTTTTTCATTAACGTCGAGATGCCCACGCATTGTCGACAAGACGAACAGGTTGGCATACGTGTGACTGTCTTCAATTACATGACCACGCCCATAGAGGCAACGGTAGTGTTGCATGGCAGCAAGGATTATAAGTTTGTGCATGTCGAGGAAAATGGTATTGTACGTTCCTACAATCCACGTACCTCTTTTGGCGAGCATCAGTTCTTCATCTACTTGGATGCACAGGGTACTACGGTGGTTTATGTGCCGGTGGTGCCACAAAAGTTGGGTGATATCGATGTAACATTGCATGTGGCCACCTTGCTGGGTACCGATACAATTACACGGCGTCTGCATGTTGAATCGGATGGATTGCCGCAATATCGCCATCAATCCATACTCTTGGATCTTTCGAATCGCGCTTACGTACTTGAATATATGCATGTGAATATTACACAAACACCAGAGATACCATACCAAGTGGATCGTTATTTTGTCTATGGCTCGAATCGAGCACGTATCTCCGTTGTGGGCGATGTGGTTGGACCGATTTTCCCTTCGTTGCCAGTGAATGCTACTTCACTGCTCTATTTACCTATGGAATCGGCGGAACAGAAAGCATTCTCATTTGCTGCGAATCTGTACACAATCATGTATATGCGTTTGATCAATCAACGTAATAAGACAACGGAAAAGCATGCCTTCTATCACATGAATATTGGCTATCAACGCCAATTGAGCTTCATGCGCCCAGATGGCTCATTCTCACTCTTCCGGTCGGATTGGAATAACTCTGCCTCGTCCGTGTGGTTAACTGCGTATTGCGTCCGTATTTTCCAGGTGAGGTAGACCCAACTGTCGTGGAAAGACCGTCAGCTATATTGTTGTTTACCCAGATACTGTAAATAGAAGTTTTTTTTTTAGCTTTTGAAGAGTCTCAAGTTATTCTCTTGTTCTTATCGGGACAGTTCCAGTTTTTTTTTTTTAAGTTTAGAATTTTTTTGCCGAGGGTGTTGCTGTTTTTTTTTCTATACGCAAATAAATTGTATTTATTCGTTATATGACTTCCATACGATACAAAAATTCTAAAAGATTAATGGTAAGGTTTAGCTACTCGAAACTTTCGCATTATCAGACTAAAATTTAGTGGGCTATAAAACTGTATACACAAAAAAAAACTCGTAACACTTAACAAAAAAAAATAATTAATTCTAACAAAAAAAAATAGAAATTGGTGAAAATTTGTTGATTTTTTTTTGCAATTTTCTAAAAAATTTTAAACTTGGGGTTAACACATAGTGGGGTTGCATAGCTTTTGTAACAGAATGAACCGTATTTTAATTGAGAAGTCTTAAAAATAAATAAACATAAGCGGCAAACAACATAACTTTGAAATGGGGTTGCTATAGATATGACCGATACCGTAACTATTTTAATGCTCCATTTTTCTTTTTGTTTTATTTCGTTTTTTTCCAACAGGAAGCTTCCTTCTACGAATGGGAAAATTTTATTTGGATTGACCCAACTATCATCGAGAAGAATATGCGTTGGTTACTGCAACATCAGACGCCTGAGGGTGGTTTCTACGAAGTCACTTGGCTGCCAGATCGCAAGATGAATCGCACGAATTTTGCCAATAATACTAGTTTACAAAATCGCAACGTTACGCTCACCTCGCACGTACTTATCTCATTGGCCTCGGTTAAAGATCTTTCCGGTTCGCTGGGCGCGCGTGTTGCGCTGGCACAACAACGCGCCATATCATGGATCGAACGCAATATGCAATTCTTGGAAGATACCGAAGAGCCATATGACGTAGCCATCACTGCATATGCCCTCCTACTCTGCAAGTCACCAATGGCTGAGCATGTCTTTTCGATATTGCGGCGACATGCACGCGTAATCGGTGATTTTATGTATTGGGGTAGCAAAGAGGTGCCACAACCGCCAAAGAAATTAGAAAATCAAAAATGGTTCTCACTACCGCGGCTGCCATACGAATTTGATGCTATGAATATTGAGACAACTGCTTATGCGTTGCTAGTTTACGTCTCTCGCCGTGAATTTATTGTCGATCCAATAGTACGTTGGTTGAATGCGCAACGTCTGAACGATGGCGGCTGGGCATCTACACAAGATACCAGTGCAGCATTGCGTGCGCTTGTCGAGTATACAGTACATTCGCGTATAAGTGAGGTTTCATCTTTGACGGTGGAAGTAGAGGCGTCATCGCAAGCGGCAAAATACAAGCCTTACACATCGATGACACGAATTTGGCGCAGCTGCAAAGTATTGAGGTGAGTTTACTGATTGGGAGTGGGGCTTAAGAATACATATATACATATTTTTTAATGTTTTCTTATTTGCCCAACAGATACCCGAATCTTGGGGAACAGTTAAGGTGCAAGCCAAAGGTGCTGGTTATGCGATATTGCAAATGCATGTGCAATACAATGTTGACATAGCGAAATTCCAGACGAAACCGCCTGTGCCAGCATTCGGTCTGCATACTAGAGCCATCTTCCACGGCAGAAATCAGTCGCACCTATCATACGTCGCATGTCAAAAGTGAGGAAATTGCTTGAACTTTTACTAAACGAACTTTTTGTTAATTATGAACTTTTTTCAGTTGGATTAATACACGCGAATCGGAACGCTCCGGTATGGCGGTGCTTGATGTCGCTATACCTACTGGCTATTGGATACAACAACAACGTCTCGATCACTATGTGTTTAGCAATCGTGTGCGAAATTTACGTCGGGCTAAATACACTCACCAGAAAGTTATCTTCTACTTTGACTATGTAAGTATTGTGGTTTTTAAATAACTGAATTTCCGTAAACGAATTTTCTCTTTTTTTTCGTTGCAGCTCGATCAAGAAGATATTTGTGTTAATTTCACTATCGAACGTTGGTTCCCAGCGGCGAATATGTCACGTTATTTGCCCATACGCGTCTACGACTACTATGCGCCAGGTACGGAATGAGTTTATTTCGATATTGTTCTGTTAATTGTCTACCTTTATACTAAAATTTGTATTTATTGTTTTCACATCTTATACCTACTTTACAGAGCGCTTCAACGAGTCCATTTTCGATGCGTTACCCACATACCTGCTGAACATTTGTGAAGTGTGCGGCAGTTCGCAGTGTCCATACTGTTCCATTTACAATATGGGTTGGCGAGCTACTATGTCTGTCTCACTTCTATTCTTTAGCGTATTAATATATCTAATGCGCAGTCGAATGCATGTAGTGCTTAATTGCCTGTATTTGTTCACATAAGCCACCCTAAGATAGTTAAAAACCCAGATTTGTGCCCTTCCTGTATACTTTTCCTGGTCCCAATATTTGAGTTTGTGTTTAATATTAAGCTTAGAATTGAAGTTTTTTACCCTCAACTATTATTTTTTTTCATATACAAATCTTTAGTGTTCACATACTGCACACCATTTAAAATACCTATAGTATAAGCTAGAAAAGACAAGTGGATGTAATACAGTGGAATAGCATGCTCAGCTGGTTCCTTAGTCGCTCGAATATTTATATTGATCTATTATTTTTAGTGGCCAAATAATAGACATAAGAACACTCATGAGAAATGTAGACATAACAAAACTGTCAAAGCTAAACTTCAAAATGGGGGGGATTGCCAGATGAATGTACGTAACCAATGTTATCCAAGACACGAACCATCATATCGGCATAGGCACGAATTGACAGTGACAATAGGGAAATGCACACACTTACACACGATAAAAGAATCGGTGGTCACATACCTCGAGGCTAAGGAAATATTCTTCCTTTCCCGAATTGGACACGGAGCGAACCACACGCATCAGCCCTCGCAAGAACGGAAGTAATCTTAACCAAATAATTAAACTGTGTTAAAAGCTGGCGACATTCAGTTAGTCGATATTCACCCATATCTAATAAAGGGAAATCGACTGAGCCCAAACATAAGGAAAAAGGCTATCAGTAAAAAGCCGTAAGTGTGCAAAGTGTTCGAGGCGGTAACAGAATTTAATCGTGCTATTCGTTTGCGGTTTTTTTTTTATCTTGTATCTGGTTCAGTCAAAGGCAAAGGGTTCCGTCATATTTCTTCCGGCGAATCCCCAACCAAATTGTGCAGGGGAAAATAAAGAAGTTGTGAATGCAAAACCTGGTCTATTCATTTGACAGCAATTGGACCCCCATTCGCCGATTATCCCAAAATCATCAAAACGTAAGTCTGCCACTTTCTTGTCACCATCCCATTGGAAACGAGCTACCCAACAACAGTAAATCGAGATTCCTGTTTGGACCGACAAAAGAAGGCCAAGCAAATCATTGGCGCCCAACTAAACGGGTGAAAAAGAATAAGTTTTTGTTGAACATAACCACACTTAAGCCCGGCATAAAATAACCGCGTGCTCATCTAAAGGAAAATAGCAATTTCATCATCGAATCAATTTAATACATCATAAAATTAGATTTAAAGAAAAATTAAAATATTTTAGTCGTTTTTCTCATTTTGTTGGTCACAAAATTGTACGTCGGTGAACCATACATATTCGAGTTTAATCGATTTTGGATTAATTTTTTCGTTTAGAAATTCTGCTATTATAAATCGTCATTGAGATTGAATCAAATAATTTTATTTGAATTCATAATCACTGTAAATCATTATCGTCCTCAGTCTTCACACGGCATGATTTAATTGATTTTTATTAGAGCTCGTTTTCAATCAAAATTTTTGTATATATTTTGATTTTTTATTTCCAAGGGGGTGAATGGTGATCGATTTGCGATGCGAACACCATTGATCAGCAGTCATAACCATTCTCGTTCAGTTCAGTTCGCCAATTCTGAAAAGCAAGTTAATTGAATTTTTTTTAATCAAGTAAAACCACCCATTGACGGTCAAGATTTTTGAACCGATAATTTTTGCCTCTTTTCGTCTTTCGGTATGAGTTCCAGTAACGCAACCGATAACACGGTCAATACTAATTGAACCAAACTTTTCATTTTTCTTTATTCTTCGTGTATTCATTACCAATAAGATTTGAAATTCGTATCAAATTAATCTCGCTTAACATTCTCAAACTGGTTGAATATTCTCAGTCTGATTTGGTCTTCCGGTAAATTCGGGGGTGGATAGTCTTGATCTTTGTTGCGTACCTTGTTGGCGACAGAAGGGACCGAAGGAGATACAGGTAATACTCCTAAGTATTCAAGGCCTTCGCTGCATCCCGGGAGCAAACAACTTGGTCCATAAGAAGATTCGAGCTAGTGCGTTAAACGCCATTCTCAGCCCACGTTCGGTATAATATTATTAAATTACATTTTGGACCGAAAATCACATGAGACATACAACCAATTGAGCGTGAATTTTTTTTGTTATACTAAGAGTAATATTAAAATAGATATTGATTTATTCGGCATTATTTTATTTCGAAATTGCATGTTCCAAACGAACATTGATTTTTTTTCCTCGCTGATTTAGCTCACACACTATCATAGAATAGAATAATAATAATATTAAATAATAAACTGAAGTAAATACTGTATTGATTTTAATCGAGTACCATCCTCTTAGAACCTAGACGTTAATAGTACGGACTTTAGAACGGACTGGTAGAATTTTTAATAATTTGAGTTTACAGTTCTGTATTTGAGTCTTTCAACATGGAATTGTTTCCCATTCTCGATGCAACCTATTTGACAGACGAACAGCGACAGATCGAAGGTGAGATATATAACCTATATCCAGCACCAGTTCAGTGGACCGACACCGAAATAACCGCTCTCAATGGTAAAATATCTGCTTACGTTGACCAACCATGGTTGATAAAATCTCATGCCATACACCAAATGAGTGAGTTGGAAATATGTGAGAGAGCATATCGAGAACTGAATGCAAATGAGGCGTTAACACCGCAGAGTCGCCTTCATCAAATGATACATTATTGTTATCGAACCGCTCGGTTAAAGTTAAAACCTGAATCGGCTCCACGCCAAGAGGACCTGGTCGGAAGGTTTCAATCAAAGATTCGTGAGCTTCGGATGTCTTCACCGAATACGGTAATCCCGACGTGCGATTCCCGATTAAGTTTGAACTCGACTTTCCATGGGTTTGATAATGAACGGGGAACAATGAGTTTAGCTCAAAATACTGTTCCATCACCACGTTTACCCTTAACTAGACCGGATCCGATTTCAAACCAGTATATACCGATTTCGGTTCAGGCAACTGAACCACGGTATACCCTGACCACTAGTACGGTTAATTCAAATGCTCAACCAGCAGTTCCTAATTTATTGTCAGGCGAAACGGAACCAACACCCTCATTGCACCAACTGTCTGTAATGGTGGCTGAGTTGTTGAGAACACAAACACAGATGCAACAGCAAATGATCCGTGATCGGATTCATTTGCAGCCAACAATACCTGACGTTCGTGACATTAACCAAACCATGCCACCGACCTTGAATCATACCTGGATACCACCATCAGTGGATCCTCCTCATGTTTCTTTGGTTGGTCCGTCACCCTTACAAACTCAAATGACCAATACCTACCGTGGTGTTAGAACGTCTCATACTCAAGAACCAATTAATGAACCATCTCATTTATATCCGAATTATTCGCTATCCGGTCCACCGCAATCACGACCAAATCAAGCCACTATATTCGACGAATCTGCCCAAGCGGATGCAATGGATAGGAAATTTAGAGGCTTACCATCATGGATGGGACGTGCTCAATTCGATGGCGTTCACGTAAACGAAAAATTTCTATCGGTTGAAGATTATTTGGCTATTATTGGCTCATTTCGATATAAGATCGGGGTACCCGACCATGAATTGGTTACGCGTTTGGTACCCACACTCACGGGGGCCGCTCGACAATGGTATTTCACCGAACTGAGAAAGTTCGGAGATTATCAGGATTTTTGCACAAAACTTCGTGCTCGTTTCCTCAACAAACATACTCGGGCTCAAGTAATAATGTCATATGCGCAGATTAAATTCGACCCACGGTCGCAAACACTGTTGAAACATATCGATGACTTGACATTCCAATTGCAGGGTAATGCCTGTGGCCTGGATGAACGGGATCACCTCGATATCATCATCGGTACCTTATCCGATCATCTTCGTGAACTCGTCCACACTCGACAAGTCCACACGTTAGAACAATTGCGGGAGTTCGCTCAGCGAATTGCACCGCATTCGTTCATTGTTGCCACATCCCGTCCGGAAAGGACCCGTTCGGATAGACAGCGATCAGAACCACGGGAAATTTCGGCACTACATGATTCGCCGGATGATTCTTTACATTCGGAATATACCGCTTCGTTCCCTGGATCCGACTCAGATGACAGGGAATGTGCATACGTGGGCAAGCATAATAAACCCTTTAAACCATCTCAGAAACGTACGGATTCGAAACCAGTCGGTGATTATAAAAATGACACAAATCGAAATGAGAATGACACGAAAGCAGGAACCATCGTCGACCCATTTCTCACTGTTGAGGGGGACGAAAATTTACGATGTGCAAAATGTCTCGTGTGGGGTCATCACTTCAAAAGGTGTCGAACCCAACCGAATCGGGTGATATGCTACAAATGTACACGACCGGGAGTGACGTCGGACCAATGCCCGTGTTCAAAAAACGCATAAGTGAGTCGATTGGGAATAGTGGCCCATCGTACTCAGAATCCATAACTTTTTCTAAATCCACTGTCTCAAATAATCCTCATTCTACCGAAGTCCCTCTACAAATCGACACATCTTCAGTCCCGAATTCCAGTAATAATTCTACTCTGATTCTTAACGAATATAATCAAACTCAAAGGGATGGCAAAGAACCATCAACCAAATGTTCTGAACGAACACCACCACTTACCAAACCTACTTCAGCTCCAGTCCCTAATCACAAACAAGACGCGGTTAATCAAGTTAACCAACCACGACTCCGCGATGTTTTCTTTATCTCAGAGAAATGTTTGACCTATAATATTCCGAACGATTGTCGCGATTATCTCACGGTTATGGTTAACAACCATTCTCATACGGTTTTACTCGATGGTGGAGCCGAAGTCACAGTCGTATCACAAACGTTTTATGAGAAGTACAAATGGGGACAGTTGCAACCTACCAAAACATCCATTGGTCTTGCCGATAATTCGATCTCTTTTAAGGCCATTGGTAAAGTGAATGTATTATATACGGTCGGTAGTCTTACCCGAATTGTGCCAACTATTGTCGTTCCGATCTCACTGAAACACCCAATTATGGGACGGACATTCCTGGAGGCCTTCTTTTTCGAACTGGTGCAGAACCAAGAAAAAGTGGAGCGATTTTTAAAAAATACAGCCAAAGGTGATACGGAAGAGGTTGCATCCACGAAAGTTGAAATGATTACGGCGGATGAATTTATTAATTTTTGTAACCAATGGAGTGGGAAAGAACCAGCTCAGGTATCTTCTATGAGTAGTGATCTGGAGCCAATTGACGCTTCCACACTCGGTTTAGATGGTGACATAGATACACCAAAAATG